TGAAGGTTCAAAGGAAATCCATCAGAGAAAGTATAGCCTTTCCAACAAAAGGTGCCAGAGGTAGAAAACTTCTCCATCCACGAGCTGAGACATCATCAGACTCACCTCATCTGTGCCTCTTCTCTTAGCCACCACTGTGGTCATTGCTTGATATCCAATGTCCTAAAAACCATTGTTTTGTACATCTGTCCAGTGTTCGATTTGGGATGGCAAATCTGGTTATTATTTATTATACTATCTTGTCCAGAAGAAACCCTTGGCCTATTGCAGTGGCTTCTCAAGTGACCCCCACCTACCACTTTCATTGGTCTAATAAGTTTTAAATTTAATTGGTAATGTGTATCATGTTTTATTTCCAAAAAGCTCCGTTGAATTATCTTTCAAATCTGCTTGATAATGTTTATAGTCTCTTGCCACTTTACTCTTATTTTCAATCTTTTTTTTTTTTTTTTACAAAACACACTTAATATTTTGCATCTGATAACGCCAACACATGAAGTTCCGGCACATTTGACTCTGTTTTATGTGTTAGCTCTAACTTATGGCAACTCATTTCCTTGTTTGTGTTGAAATTTTTGACTGCGAGTTGATATTTTTGGAACTTTGAGACTTGGCTTGATAGTGGATTTCTTCAGTAAATATTTGTTTTGCTTCTGCTAGGTGCCTGGGGGCGCCTGCTGGACACCACATTAAATGAAATTCTTGGCTTTGGGGTTCTTTCTGGGTACCCACGTAGTGTGAATTCAGGTTGTAAACCCATGAGAAAGCTGTCTTAGTGTTATGACATTAACAGGAGAGACATTTTCCTCCTTAGTGATAAAATTTGATTTGGGAGTTAGTTTTTAGTTTTTTTTTTTTTTTAATGTCCTCTGGGCAGGTGGTGGGGGTGGGGAGTATTTATTTCTAATTCTCCCACGTCCTGAGGCATGACCTTCTGAGGTCTGAATTTTACGCAGATATGGAGGTCGCATCTTCCATTTGACTCTCAACGAGATACATTCTGGACTTTGAGTCTTGCACCCCGCAGCCCACCAGAGCATGAACATGGAAGGTCGAGCTCCTCTGGTTTAGCAAATGCCTTCAAAGTGAAAGTAGTCTCACCTTGCCAGGTTTCAGTTTTCACTTGGTTCTTGACTTTTAACTATTTCTTACCTTTTAATTAGACCATCCATTCATTTACATGTTAAGTTTTAAAAATATTTATGTTTTAATATGCATTTGTAGCTGTTTTTAGTGTGAGTATGGAGATAATCAGAGAATTTAGTTCACTGTACCATTGGAAATGGAATTCTTGTTTTTCAATCTGAAAAACTGATTCTTTTGTCATTAAGAAGACATATTATATATCTGTATATTTTGATGTAGTCAAATGGAGCTATCTTTTCCTTTATAATTAGTGCTTTTTGGCCTTTTCTAAGAAATCTTTCCTTACTCTCAATCTCCCTATGTCATAAATACACACATATTTTCTTTTATGTTTTCTTCTTATGTGAGTATATATTCATATATATAGAAGGATTCATTTTTTATTTTTGTTTATATAGACAACAATGGATCATGGGTAATATATAGATTTTGACCTGTTTTAATATGCCCTTATGAGCAAGGCATGGAGTGTGTGTGTGTGTGTGTGTGTGTGTGTGTGTGTGTATTTGCTTTTTGTTTTTTTAGACACAGGGTCTCGCTATGTTGTCCAGGCTGGAGTACAGTGGCTATTCACAGGTGTGATCATAGTGCCCTGCAGCCTCCAGCTCCGGGACTCAAGCAATCATCCTGCCTTAGCTTCCCAAGCACCTGGGACTACAAGCATGTGCCACCATGGCTGGCTTGGTTTTTATATTTTTTTAACAGGTTCTATGTGTATGTATATATCAGAAGAAGATGTGACAGAGATTATATGTGGCCTGCAAAGCCTAAAATTTTGTTGTCTGGGTCTTATATAAAAAGCTGGTATTAATCTACTTTCCCCCACTTATTTGCCATATTTCAGCCTCCCATTTATACCTGAAGTTTATTTCAGGGCCTTTCATTCTGTTTCATTCATCTCTTTATTTTTTTTGCCAACTCCAAATACCACATTGTAATGAAAACGGCTGTTTTCATTAACAAAACTACACGAGTTAAAGGAGAGGGATTAGGAAATGCAGGATCCATTTTCAGAGGGGAAATGGAAAAATAGAGAAAATTCGTACTCAGAAGCCTAATTGCCCTGACGTTAACTAGAGGCACAGAGACTCAGAGTGCTCATAAAATACGTCTCTGCCTTGCCCAAAGCAAGCGCTGGACCATGGAATTGGATTTTATTGATTAATTTGTAACTGTGTACAGAGCCGTATGAAGCATGAAACACTCAGAGACTTGTTCCAGGAAGCTTCCAACAAACGGAACAATGAATTGTGAAGCCCCCAGTGGATGGAGATTGGAGGGTGCAGGGGAGAGGGGCACTCTGTAAACCCTAAAATATACATTAGTCATTGAAGGGGGAGCAGAAGAGAAAGAGCCTGGGCCCTGAAAAGGTAATTGTATTAGTAGATAGCTGTTTTCCTTCGGGAGCCGATGTTTATCTGTCTGAGCTGTGTGTCTGCTCACTTTAGTCACGACACAATTTACTTATTCAATGGGATGGCACTCTCGGTTAATGAGAGCACACTCTTTGAGGCAGAGACACAGACCTACAGATGTGGCCCTGAGTTCACGTGGCCTTGGCTACACGTGGCTGAGACCCTTTGTCACGTTGGCCCCAGCATAGGAGCTGGGACTGCAGTCCTGAGTCTTGCTTAGAGGGTTACGGAGGCTCTGCATCCCCCAGCTCTACTGCATGGCTTTTTGCTCTGTTCTTCCCTTTGGGGTCAAGAGGCAGTGAGGGGAACAGTCCCCATAGTCCCTCCCCAGCATGAGTATGTGTGAAGCAGGCTGTACAAACCTGTAAGACCCTCTCCTCGGCGCTGTCTGCCCTCCTATATGCTGGCTGAAAACAGGGCAGTGGGGGAGTAAGTGCGGCCCCCTCACAGTGGGTGCACAGATGTGCTGCTGGTGAAGGGCTCTGGACAGGGCCCCACGGTATCTGCCAACCTGGAGGGGCCCTGTGTGACAGGTGACAGGGACAGGCTTGCAGAGTCTGCCCAGCTGCTGTGTTTCCAGGATGCTGCTGCTCTAGGAGGGCTTCATACAGAACATCTCGGGGACCCAGGAGGGAAAGAAACAACCTTGCCCATGACAAAGCACAATATTGCTTTGCAGACATTGCCGAGGTCCACCTGGGCTCTTGCGAAGGGTGAAAGTGTTCAAATGCCACTTCAGTGGGCTCTGAATTCAGGGGCTGGGGTCTCCCAGGTGTTGTGATTGAGCAGAGTCCTTTGCTTGTCCATTTTCCAAAAGTGAAGCCTCCTGGCAGTTCACAGTGTGCCAGTCTTAACACCTGCAAGTGTGTGGCAGTCACCCACTGACTTGGGGGCAAAGGTGACCTGCAGCATGTAGAATGGTTCTCTTCTCCTGCCCCTGCCTCCCTTCCTCCACTTGTCTCTGTACTTTGAAATCATTCTCCACCCAGGCCCTGCAGGAGCCCCACTGGTTCAGGGGGTTGTGATTAGGAAACAGCAGCCTGTCGCTCCCCACCCTGGCTCAGACAGCTCTTTCAGGAACCTGTGGTCTTGACAAGAAGGGAAGATTGCTTCAAAGAGCCAGCCAGGCCCCCTGGGGAGTGACGGCTCCTGCCTCAGGCATGGGAGGCTATAGTGCCTGGCTGAAGGGAGCTGCCCCCAAACACAGAGGGCAGGAAAGATGAACAAAAAGTCACTTTCTCATTGTTGCTGCCAGGAAAAACCAGCGCCCAAGAGGATACTGCATTCTGCAGATCTTATTTAAAATTCTGCAAGCAGCCCTGGTGATTAGGGGACTGCGGCTGGATCTTGGCGGCGGCTCAGACAAATGAGAAAGGAAAATGGCCAGGCAGGTCGCCTCACCTTCCTCCCTTGCTGGTTCTGAGGAGCATCTTGCAGGAGATTTATTGTAAACTGAGCTTTGTAGACGGAGGGGATTACTTGTGGCTCAAACAGGCAGCTAGAAGCAGTGGAAAGATCTTTTAAAAGGGCTTAAGGCATTTTGCAGGGCTTTTCATTTCAGTTCTTTCCCCTGCATAATGGTGGTGCTAGACTAGATCCATGGTCTTCTGTTGGTTGCATATTCCTATCAGTAAAATATGTTGAGCCTGCACTCTTATACCTGTGTATTTGTTCATTTACCAATTATGCATATGTTAGACTCTACTAATGTATTATGCACTTTGCAAAGGACATGCAACAACAGAAATAAGGAAGCCTAAACGAAAATACATATAAGCAGAAGCTCTAGTTTTTTTATTTTCAACCTCTGTCATGCCTTCTCTCTAGGAGGTGAATACTTAATTTGGAAAACAGCAGAGCAGATGACCCAGTAGGGCTTCTCAGGATGGAAAGTTGGCAAAGAACACTGTCTAGTGTGGTGGTCCCTAGCCCCATGTGGCTACTTAAATTCATTAAAATGAAATAAAATTTAAAACTCAGTTTCTCAAACACACTAACTGCATTTCAAATGCTCAATAGCCACATGGGGTTAGTGGCTGTATAGGTCAATGCAAATTGTAAGACATTTCCATCATTGCAGAGAGTTCTATTGGACAATCTGTTTAGCAAGTAGTCAAGACCATATAATTCAATATTTAATTGCAATGAACCTTTACTAACTAAGCACCTGCTATGTGTTCAGCATCATGAGAAACATTTTATAAGCATGGTCTCATTTAGTCCCTCCAGCCACCCCTGAGTGAGGTGCTATTATTGTTGCCAAGTCATGGGGGTGGGGGTTGGGGGTGAGGGTTAGAGGATCAGGAATCACTCAGAGCTGACCAGCTAGTTAGAGGTCCAGCCCTGTGTTCTACCAGGTGCCCCAGCGGGACTTTTCAGATTTTTCTGGGCATGTGCTCTCGAGGGTGGTTGCTGCAAGTGTGCTTCTCTGTCCCACAGGTACAAAGGGAATTTCTTGCAGAGCCATGTTCAGCTGAGAGCCGGCAGACTGCGCAAGCCAACGTGGGTGCCGAGGAGAAGCTGCCCCCGTCCCCCGCTTGAGGGGCAGGCCTCTTCAGTAATGACAGGTAATGCTCTCCTTGGAGGTGAAGGCCCCAGGCTGTACGGTGAGCAGGCGCCAACATGAGGGATAATGACTAACGTGTGACATCTGAGAGACAATCAAAGTGACCCTAAACCAGCGGGGAGGGCATGGGGTGAGAAGATCAAGAATTCAGCCTTGGGAAGTCAACAGACATCCTTGGGCCACGTGTGCCAGCCCTGTCCTGGGTGTGGATTCCCTCCAGGACCTGGGGAAACATGACTCAGAATTCCTGGTGCCTCCACCTTGACCTCTCTCTAAAGAGGAAGTTCACTTGGTTCCTTCGCAGGGTCGTTGTGAGGCTAAAGGGGTCGAGGGACAGGCTTGAGAGCCAATGTGGAATGGAAGCATGGCAGGCACGTGACGCAGCAGAGTACACTGCTTCCCTGGGAAGCAGTGAGAGGCGTACTCCTTGCCACGCTCAGAAATAGGTAAAGGATGAACTCGTGGGGGCTCCTTCCTGGGAAAATGCCTATTTTAAGCTGCGATCACTGGGCAGCCAGGGCAAATTGCTGACCTTATCTGGACCTCAGTTTCCCCTGCCTTTCTACCCCTCCCCAGCCCTAGCCTTGCTTGCAGAGCATTGGCTGGGGAAAATAGAGCCTTCGGTGAGAGACTGTGGGGCCCCATCTGGCCAGCGGGGACTGAATTACCATCCTTTTGTGGATGATTGTTGGCTATTTGGCTCATGGGCTGAGCTTGGGCTCTGTCTGATGCAAGAGGTCTTTCATAGGACATGTGCTAGGCACCGCCTACTCCAGCTGTGTGTGACAGCTTCCCCATGCCCTCCCCACCCCCCAGAGCCCTCTAGGGTCAGTAGGCAGTGCAGGAGTAGCCTGGTCCCTCAGAGAGGATGCAAGTCAAGGTAGGTGGCTGCACTTGCAACTGTGTGGCCAGCGTAGAGAAGAGATTGTTTCCAGGCCACCCCCGAAACGTCAAGGGCCAAGCTCCCCGTGGGAGAGGTGGGGAGGCAAAGGTGCCTCTTCCCAGGGTGCTCACGTCCACCCTGGGCCCCGGCCCCGGCCCCAGCAGAGAGACTGACGGAAAAGCCTGTGCCTTTTCACTGTTCTTTGCACCCTTCTTCCCTTTGAAAGCTTCTCTCAGCCTCAGGGAAGGGTCCTGCACCCACGCTGCGGACTAGTGGAGGAGCCCTGGAGATCACAAGGCTTCCTTCCATGTAGGAGAAACCTACTCCTAGATGTGGAGTCTTATCTCCACATCAGCATTTCATAGCTTTGTTCACACCCAAATCCCAAGAGAAAACTGGGGGCACCAGTGGATGGTCAATAAAACCAGACCCCAGAGGAAAAAAAAAACCCAGAAACAAAACCTGAATATAGAGCTAAGAATCAAGAGGCCATCCCTCATTAGAATTCTTGCAGGGAACATAGCTGCCCCCATGTAGGTAATGATGCCCAGCAACAGCCCGCGGTGGTGACAGATGTCTGTGCTTTCATGTTTATTATTGGAGCAGCAAGTTGGGCCAGAAGCCTGGGTCCCTGGGGTCCATTTTCAAAGGCCTCCCTCTCCAGCAATTAGGGGGACCATGGAGGGTGTCCACTGTGGGGCAGGTGTGAGCCTGCAGGATGCAGGAGAAGCACTGGCCCAGTGAATATCAATCACTGCCTGTTGCTTATTGAAGTGTCAGAGAGGGAACAGGGAAGGGTGGTAGGGCAGACGAACAAGCTGGGCTTGACAGGTCATGATGGACACCATCCAGGTGGAGGGGGAGAGAGTGCATTGTAATAAATGCCACCTGGAAATCAAAGGGGTATGGGATTTTATCACCACACTTGCCAATATCAATATTTCACCATGCAGTGACAGGCACTCTGAGGGCATTAGGTGTTTGAAGACAAAGTGCTGTGACTTCAAAGGAACCTACAGCAGAGCTTGACCATCTACCATTTACAAACTACTTTTTTGAATCTCCTTTGACCTGGAAGGTCCTGGGCAGAGAGATCAGAGCCGGGTACTCAGTGAGAGAGCTGCCCTTGTCTGTGTGTGTACGCACATGAGTATGAATGTGCCTGTGTGTGTACATGAGTATGAGTGTGCCTGTGTGTGTGCACATGAGTATGAGTGTGCCTGTGTGTGTGCACATGAGTATGAGTGTACCTGTGTATGTGCACATGAGTATGGGTGTGCCTGTGTGTGTGTCTGCACATGAGTATGAGTGTACCTGTGTATGTGCACATGAGTATGAGTGTGCCTGTGTGTCTGCACATGAGTATGAGTGTGCCTGTGTGTGTGCACATGAGTATGAGTGTGCCTGTGTGTCTGCACATGAGTATGAGTGTACCTGTGTATGTGCACATGAGTATGAGTGTGCCTGTGTGTCTGCACATGAGTATGAGTGTACCTGTGTATGTGCACATGAGTATGGGTGTGCCTGTGTGTGTGTGTGCACATGAGTATGGGTGTGCCTGTGTGTGTGCATGAGTATGAGTGTGCCTGTGTGTGTGCATGAGTATGAGTGTGCCTGTGTGTGTGCATGAGTATGAGTGTGCCTGTGTGTGTGCATGAGTATGAGTGTGCCTGCGTGTGTGTGCACGAGTATGAGTGTGCCTGCGTGTGTGTGCACATGAGTATGAGTGTGCCTGCATGTGTGTGTGCACGTAAGTATTAGTGTACCTGTGTGTGTGTGCACATAAGTATGAGTGTGCCTGTGTGTGTGCACATGAGTATGAGTGTGCCTGTGTGTGTGCACATGAGTATGAGTGTGCCTGTGTGTGTGCACATGAGTATGAGTGTGCCTGTGTGTGTGCACATGAGTATGAGTGTACCTGTGTATGTGCACATGAGTATGGGTGTGCCTGTGTGTGTGCACATGAGTATGAGTGTGCCTGTGTGTGTGCACATGAGTATGAGTGTGCCTGTGTGTTATATTTTGGGGGAGGGTTGTTTTCCTGGCAAGACAACGAAGAGGTGATCTGCTGTTTTGAGTCACCTGGGGGACCATAATTTGAGGGAACTTGCTGGAATATAACAAGGAAATTGAGAATGACGTTTGTGTGTGTGTGTGTGTGTGTGTTGGGGGGGATTTCTCAATGTTAAGGTAGGGAAAACCTTCGGTCCTAATCCTTGTAGGCCAACTAGAGTTAGTAAAACATTTAAAAATAAGTAGTTGAGAGTACTTATTTGTCCAGGAGCTGAAATAAGATGTTATAATAATTTTTTGTCTTTATGTTTTGGAGATACTTCCTGTCAATTACTTAGGGGGATGAGAGAGAAAGGATGTTTTTTAAAAACAATTTTTTTAAAAGATGTTTAATTTCCCTCTCTTCTAAACTATTCTAATAACTCGGTACTAATCATTCGAATTACCAGATGGCTTGGCAGTGAAGTCATCTGCAAACAGAAGGCCAGAGGAGTTATGAAGGATAAAGACCTAATTTATAAGATTTTACATTGATTAGAATCTGTGAGACTCTCCTGACAACTGAGTGTTTTTTTCTGAAACCTAAATCCAGTAGTCCCTCCTATTGAAGTTTCTGGCTAGGGCAAGGGGGAAACTAGAAGTTTCTATTTAGATGCTAAATGGGGTGGATGTACCAGGCACCCCAGGCTAGACATGACTAGGCATGTGCAGGAGTGTCACTCTTTCAAAGAACACCCTCCTTCATCCACACTCACTTTAGGGTCAGGGCTGAAGGGTGGTTAGGTGAATTGAACTTCCTAGACTTGAGCTGCCTCATTGAAGGGATTGGTAAAAAGAGAGTTTTTAGATACCAGGTCATAGACTATCCCATGTAAAGCAAGCATCTACCTTATAATCCAAATGTCCTTTCTGGGACACTCCAGTCCTAAAGTTGGCTTGTTGGCTGGGAGCATGAGAACCTTTTCTACAAAACTGACAGCTGATGAATTTAGACCCTGCAACTCACTCTCTCTCTCTCTCTCTCTCAGCTTACTGTAGCATTCATCCATGCCATTCAGGTTAATTTTCACAACACAATGTAAATTGATTGCCAGGTGAAATCATGCTCAAAATGTTGCATTTCCTGAAGTTGATGAAAATGACCATTAGAGAGACCTGCTTTGTTCACTTCCATGGGCAAAGTCAGACGAGGTGATGGATGAACAAGAGAAACTGACAAGGATGATAACTCTGAGTGACTTGAATATCAGAGGCTTAAGAGAAGCCTTTGGAAACATGGATAAATCCCTATAATCTTTGCTAGGGGGAGAATGCCCCTTGGTGATCTTGCTATGAAACTGAATGCAAAAGTGAAGAATACCTGTTGATCTGCTCATCAATTTTGGGTAAAAATGTTTTGTCTTCATCAGTACTTGATTAACTTCCATTGATTTTAACAATTATCTCATGGTTTGCCACTCTAAGAAGATTCATCTTTATAGGTTTATCACCTTATTTTCACAACTTTTATTTTCATCATTTTTCAAGATAAATTCTCAAAGTCCTTAATACTTGACTATTTACTGTGAAATTTTGGTCCCCATTGTGAATGAATTCATCTTAGGTGGGCTTTCCTCAGTAGCAGTGGTCTCAGTTAATTAAGACACTGTTTACCAAGCTGATAGGTCTTCCTCTATCTTTGCATCAGGTGCCTAGCACACATTTCTTTACCTTGAGCTTTCTTGAAGCTCAGTCTCAGCTAAAAGGGCAGTCAAAAGCCAGCTTCCAGATCCTCTTTGAGAATGAACAAGGAAGAGCATGCAACCTGGAGGTTAGGTTTCTGATTGTACTTTCAAGTTGTGTCAACAGTGGGAGACTCCAGTGGGTGTCCAGATTGGATGGCAGTGGACTGTAACCAGCATAATTCAGTTTATGGAATTGCCATCTTCAACCTTAAGGATCGTCTAACGTCACCTCAGTGTTACAGAGGAAAGCCCGGGGGAGAGAAAGGTGGTGACTGAGAACCTGAGGATGCCACTTTGATGTCTTTTAACCTGAAGTCCTCTCCTACACTATAATCAGACGGCGTTTTAAAGGTGAGGCTCATTGCCAAAGCCAGCACCTAA